TGGGAAGTTCCCGGTAGGGGCTTGGGGAGAAGGGGAGAGAGAGACACGTCGCTGGAGGAGGATGGGGCTGGGGGGGAGCCCGGCTGCCAGCGCCAAAGGCGAGCCAGGAAAGAAGGGGGGGTGAAGCAAACAGGACAGGTCAGGGAGGGGAAAGGAAGTGAGCGGAGCCGGTTCTGGCCTGGGTGCCCGCTTTCTCAGTGCAGTTGCACAGGGATTCAGTAGCAGGAAGGAGGGAGGGAGGGAAGGAGGGAGGGAGGGAGTTTGGTTTGGCGGAGGAGGTTTTGCGCAGGGGAGGCCGATCTCAGTCTGCGGGACTCGGAATAGGCACAGGGAAGGGATCGCGGTCCCTCAGGTCTACGGACGGCGGAATGAAAAGGCTTCTCTTCAAGCCCCGGGGGAGGCTGAGACCCCCCCGGAAAATTTCGGAGGTAGCCCCCGCCCCTCCGCCCCCCTGAACTCTACGCCTATGGCAAGGGGGAAGGTTTCCATACCAGGCTGTCTCCCGGAGCGAGCAGGACCCTGAATGAACTCTGCTTCTCAGCATCTGCATCTCAGCTGGCCTACGGCTAACTAGAAAGCTTGGAGCCCCACATCCGTGGCTGCTAGTCCCGTGTTAAGCGTGGTCACAACCGTCCGTGCTAAGAAAAAGGGGGAGGCGGTGCTACGGTCCCCATTCTACCATCCACCTCTTTTGAGGGAGGACTTTGCCGAGTCCCTTCTTGACAGAAAAATGGAACATAAACCTCACAGATAAAAATAAAATAAGTCCCTGCTCTCTGGGAAACCACAGGCCCATCCCCTTCTTCCCACCTGGGGGGTTTCACCACGAATCCCACCCTCTGTTTCCAGGGCCACAATTTGTATGGAAGATCGGTCAGGCCCGCAGACCTGTGACCGCTCTCGTCGGCACTAGACGAACAGCTCAGTTTTTACACGAAGCCCTAGATGTCCCTGTGTGCATGCATTCTTCAGTCACACTGCATCATGGGCTCGGCAGTCCACAGCGGACTACTCAGAATGTGATGCACTGCAACTGCGATCGAGACCTTCGCATACAGGGGCCACCTTAAATGGTAATGGCTGAAATGAGCAAACAAGGATTCTGCACTTGGCAAGGGGTTTAGGAAGATTATGGAGATAAAACTCCCAAGCGATGATGCTGGTTTTTAAAAAAATCCAAGCAACCGCCTATACCACAGTGGTGTGGCCCCCCAAAAACAAACGCCCAAGACATGAGGCGAACCTCCACATTCAGAGGGACTAAATATCCCAGTCCCAAGAGGCAAAATCAGGGGAAAGCCTCCACCTGTTGTAACAGGATGCTGGACTAAATGGGCCCTCAATGGTCTTCTTATTTTCTTATGAAGGCCTTGGCCTCTATGCCCTGTTGTTGGCTCTCCAGAGAGCCACTGTTTGGCCGCTGTGTGACACAGGAGGCTGGACTAGATGGACCCTGACTGGTCTGACCCAGCATGGCTCTTCTGATGTTCTTCTCAGAGGAAGGCCTCGGCCTCTCTGCCCTGTTGTTGGCCCTCCAGGGGAACTGGCTGGCCCCTGTGTGAGACAGGAGGCTGGACTAGAGGGACCCTGACTGGTCTTCTTCTTTTCTTATGAAGGCTTTGGCCTCTCTGCCCTGTTCTTGGCCCGCCAGAAAGCCACTGGTTGGCCCCTGTGTGAGACAGGATGCTGGACTAGATGGACCCTGACTGGTCTGACCCAGCAGGGCTCTTCTGATGTTCTTATCAGGGGAAGGCCTCAGCTTTTATGCCCTGTTGTTGGCCGTCCAGAGGAACTGGTTGGCCCCTGTGTGAGACAGGATAAATGGAACCTCAATGGTCTTCTTATTTTCTTATGAAGGACTCGGCCTCTCTGCCCTGTTCTTGGCCAGAGGAACTGGTTGGCCACCATGTGAGGCAGGATGCTGGACTACAGGGACCCTCACTGGTCTGATCCAGCAGGGCTCTGCTGAGGTTCTTATCAGGGGAAGGCCCTGCTGTTGGCCCTCCAGAGGAACTGGTTGGCCACTGTGTGAGACAGGATGCTGGACTGTGTGAGACAGGTGCTTGGGGGGGGGTCAACAGTGGGATGGCTTCTAATGTCCTGGCCCCACTGGTGGACCTCCTGATGGCACTGGTATTTCTGGTCACTGTGGGATACAGAGTGTTGGACTGGATGGGCCTTTGGCCTGATCCAACATTGGCATCTCTTATGTTCTTATGTTCTTATGACTAGATGGCACCTCAATGGTCTTCTTATTTTCTTATGAAGGCCTCGGCCTCTATGCCCTATTGTTGGCCCTCCAGAGGAACTGGTTCACCGCTGTGTGAGAGAGGATGCTGGACTAGATGGACCCACACTGGCCTGATCCAGCAGGGCTCTTCTGAGGTTCTTATCAGGAGAAGGCCTCGGCCTCTCTGCCCTGTTGTTGGCCCTCCAGAGGAACTGGCTGGCCCCTGTGTGAGACAGGAGGCTGGACTAGATGGACCCTCACTGGCCTGATCCAGCAGGACTCTTCCAATGTTCTTATCAGGGGAAGGCCTCGGCCTCTCTGCCTGTTGCTGGCCCTCCATAGGAACCGGTTGGCCACTGTGTGAGACAGGATGCTGGCCTAGATGGATCCTCACTGGTCTGATCCAGCAGGGCTCCTCTGAGGTTCTTATCAGGGGAAGGCCCCGGCCTCTCTGCCCTGTTGTTGGCCCTCCAGAGGAACTGGTTGGCCCCTGAGTGAGACAGAAGGATGCACTAGGTGGACCCTGACTGGTCTGACCCAGCAGGGCTCCTCTGAGGTTCTGATCAGGGGAAGGCCTCGGCCTCTCTGCCCTGTTTCTTGGCCCTCCAGAGGAACTGGTTGGCCCCTGTGTGAGACGGGAGGCTGGACTAGATGGACCCTCCCTGGTCTGACCCAGCAGGGCTCTTCTTTCGTTCTTATATTCTTAACCTGTCGATAGCGCCTTGCCTCATCCTTCTCCCAACTTCACCCACCTAGAAAGACCCCAGAATCCACACGCAGCCGAACCGTGTTCCGTCACAGTGTGCCACCCCAAACTGCGGTCCCTCCCTTGGGGAAGGGGGGGGGGGCCCAGGGCCCAAAAGAACCGGACGGTCCTCTGCGGCTCTCCCTTCCAGCCACACGGTTGCAGAGAAGGACGAAGCAGATGGGTAGAGGTGGATGTGGATGGACATGGATGGGACAGACAGACGGATTCCACAGCCACACAAGGAGGACGGACAGACGGACAGACGGTCTGGGGGAGGAGCAGCAGCTGCCCCTCCCTTTACCTGCTCACTGGCTCCCCCCAGAGGCACTGAGGGAGAATCCGTCCCGTCCATTCCAGGCCCATAATAGTAGGTGTACCCGTAATAGTCTTCTGCGTCCTCATCAGAATACTGAAGGAAAGCAAGAGAAGACGTTCTTGTTTCCCCCCCAAATAAAAGGCCTTTTGGCTGCCAACTCCTGGAGAAGCTCTCTGGCCAGGCGCCTGACCACAGCGGATGCCTGACGGCGCACGGGGAAAGCGGAGGGCACCGCCACAAACCTTCTCATCCCTTCCTACAAATCACCATGCAGGCTGCTTTTAGTCCTCGAGGTGCCCACAGAGGGACGCTTTTGGGACTCAGAGTGCGCTGGGTTGAGATAAAAAAAATGCATCGAAGGGGACTGCTACGCACCAGCTACGGTTTCCACCTCCGGGTTGGGAAACACCTGGAGGTTTGGGGGGTGGAGCCCGAGAAGGGCGGGGTTTAGGGAGGGGAAGGGCTTCAATAGGGGAAGGAGGAGGAGGAAGAAGAGGAAGAAAAACAAGAAGAGGAGGTGGAGGAGGAAGAAGAGGAAGAAGAAGAGGAGGTGGAGGAAAAAGAGGAGGAGGAAGAAGAGGAAGAAGGAGGAGAAGAAGAGGAAGAGGAAGAAGAAGAGGAAGAAAAACAAGAAGAAGAGGAGGAGGAGGAGGAAGAAGAAGAGGAGGAGGAAGAAGACGGAGAAGAAGAGGAGGAGGAAGAGGAAGAAGGACAAGGAGAAGAAGGAGAAGAAGAAGAGGAGGAGGAAGAGGAAGAAGAAAAAGAGGAGGAGGAGGAGGAGATTGGATTTATACCCCTCCATTCACTCGGAGTCTCAGAGCAGCTGACAAACTCCTCTCCCTTCCCCTCCCCACAGCAGACACCTTGTGAGGTAGGTGGGGCTGAGAGAGTTCTGACAGAAACTGTTCTTTTTCAAGGACAGCTGTGCCAGAGCTTGTGACTGACCCAAGGTCACATCAGCAGGTGCAAGTGGAGGAGCGGGGAATCAAACCCGGTTCTCCCAGATTAGAGTCTGCGCACTCCACCACCACACCGCCTTCCAAAGCAGCCATCTTCTCCAGGGGAACTGATCTCTGTTGCCTGGAGATGAGTTGTAACCCCAGGAGATCTCCAGCTGCCCCCGGAGTCTGGCAACTCTCACATCAGCCCTTCTGATTGCTAAACATCCAGGGACTGGTTTGGGGGGAGAAATTCTCCGGGGTCTGCAGAAGATTTGGGACAGGGAGGCCCTCCCACTTCCGGAAGATCTTCTTGTAGTTTCAGGGCTATCTGTAAAAATCCAAATCAAGGGCACAGGGGGGTGGAGTGTCCCCGAAGCTGTCAGGGAAAAACTGAATTGCTAGATCTGAGAAGTCCTTTTTCTGAGTGGACTGTGGTTCGACCCGTGTGGACAGGCAGGTTCCACATGGCCACCAGTGGCAGATACCCACCCAGGGGCCTCTTCTCCAAGGTCTGGTCTGGCTCCCTTTTAAAGCCACTCAAGCTAGCATGCACCTTGTGGCAGGGAGTTCCATAGTTCCACTGGCTGGAAGGGAGCCGAGGAGGAGGCCTGCTCGGGCACCGTGGGAAACAGGATGCTGGACCAGGTGGACTTTCTCTGGTCTGATCCTGCAGGGCTGCTCTGACATTCTTAAAAATGAACACAGGTTGTATCCTCTTGGCTTTTCTTTCAAAGTAGACGGCTGTTATTTGGTTTTACGAAGGGAAAAAGACTACGGACCATGCCACAGGGGGCCGCTACAGGCCTGTAGCCACGGGGGCATTTGGGGGCAACGCCCCCCCACATATGAGCGGCGCCCCCAAACAAAACAAAAACATCCAAAAATGTTTTGAAAATGCAAGAGGCACGTGGGTGTCCCAAAATGACCCCAGGCACAGTCGCGATTGCTTCAGTCTCACTTTCTTTTTCCAGGGCCAAAAAAAAATAAACGGGTTCTTAAAAATGCAAATAAAATCAAATGAAATTGCAAAAAATAAAACAAAATTGCAAAATGGAAGAGAGAGAGAGAGTCGGCGATCCCCCCCGCCGCCCAGGCTTACACAGAAAAGCAGCCCAGAATCAAGTTTCTCCAATCAAAAGAACTAGAGGAGGACCAGAGGTCACAGCAGAGCCGTAGCTGCTGCTTCTGTGGCTGCAAGAGGAGCAGAAGGCATGGCTGGGGTGCCCCCCCCAATTTCCCCCACGCCCCACCAACCAAAATCTTCCGGCCACACCCCTGGGCAGCTATGTGTTATCTGTATGTGTTATCTGATTGCATCGTCTCACTTCCACTGCACTGTTGAACGTATCCTGTCTCATACTCAGGGGTCATTTCCTGCAGGAGGGCACAGGAGCGGAGCTCTGGCAGTAAAGAGCCCAGGGGGCGGGCACATGCAACAAGCCCTGCCCCCTGCTCCCAGCAGCCGTCCGTCAGAGCAAGAAGCAGCCAGGTAAGTTGCAGAGGCCCCCCACGCCACCCCAGTCCAGTGGCACCTTTAAGACCAAGGTTTATTCAGGTACAAGCTCTCCCTCCTCTGTGAGGACAGATCTGCACATCCCTCCCCCCAATAGCTAGCTATCCAAAACAGTCCAGTGGAGCCTGAGTGGTGGGTGTTGCCTTCTGACACACTTCCGGTGATGTCAGGGGGTGTGGCATATGCAAATGAGTTATGCTAATGAGCTATGCTAATGAGCTCCTGCACCTCTTTTTCCTACGAAATGACCCCTGCATATATATAAACACTTCCACCTTTCAACAAAGAAAATTTCATGTTTTCCTTGAAGATTGATGCTTAATTTATCAAGTTCCGCTGTCTCTAATAATATATACACTAATTCCTCTCTTGAGGGAAGGGAATCCCGTTTCCAGTATTTAGCTAGTAGCATTCTAGCCGTAAATATAAATAGCATCAAAAAAATTATCTTTTTGATTGTAACCTTCCGAAATCGTATTCAGCACAGCTACTTCAGGGGACAAGGCAATCGTTACACACGTCACTTCCGAGATAAATTTCTGAATCATCTTCCAGTAGTTACTTACTTTCATACATCGCCACCACGTGGAAAAGAGTTCCAACGTCCGAACAACATTTCCAACATATATTAGGTAGTGCAGCATTAGATTTAGCTATCCTATCTGGTGACCAATACCAGCGGTGTGCTACTTTATAAATGTTTTCTTTATAGTTGATAGCTCTTAGGTATTTGAGAGATTTCCAAGTACTGGACCATTTATCTATTTCTATGCAATGCCCAATATCTTTCATCCAAGCCACCATTGAAACACTAATTTGCTCATCTAGAGTATATTCTCGTAACAGAAAGCTATATATTTTTTGGATTATTTTGTCACTACTTGATAGCCAGATCTTATATAGTTGAGTTTTGGAGTCTTAGAATCCTGCACGTATATCCCCTGTGAAGAAAGGTTAAAGCGCTTAGGGCTCTTTACCATGGAGAAGCGAGGGGTGATGGGGTGACATGATCGAGGTTTATAAGATTATGCATGGGAAAGAGCAGGTCGAGAAAGAGGTACTTTTCTCCCTTTCTCACAATACAAGAACTCCTTCTGGGCACTCAATGAAATTGCTGAGTGGCCGGGTTAGAACGGATAAAAGGACGTCCTTCTGCACCCAAAGAGTGATGAACACATGGAATTCACTGCCACAGGGGTGGTGGTGGCTACAAGCATGGACAGCTTCAAGAGGGAATTAGATAGGCATATGAAGCAGAGGTCCATCAGTGGCTATTAGCCACATGTTATAGATAGGAACTCTCAGGTTAGGGCAGAGATGCTCTGACTTCTTGGTGCTTGGGGGGCCAACAGTGGGAGGGCTTCTGGAGTTCTGATGGACCTCCTGATGGCACCTGGTATTTTTGGCCACTGTGTGCCACAGAGTGTTGGACTGGGTGGGCCTTTGGCCTGATCCAACATGGCTTTTCTTAAGTTCTTATGTCAGGGGAAGTGATGCTCAGTATTCTTGGTGTTTGGGGGGAAACAGTGGGAGGGCTTCTAGAGTTCTGGCCCCACTGGTGGACCTCCTGATGTCCCCTGGGTTTTGGCCACTGTGTGCCACAGAGTGTTGGACTGGGTGGGCCACTGGCCTGATCCCACATTGGCTTAAGTTGTTATGTCTAGGGCAGGGATGCTCTGTATTCTTGGTGCTTGGGGGGCAACAGTGGGAGGGCTTCTGGAGTTCTGGCCCCACTGGTGGACCTCCTGATGTCCCCTGGGTTTTGGCCACTGTGTGCCACAGAGTGTTGGACTGGAGGGGCCATTGGCCTGATCCAGCATTGGCTTCTCTTAAGTTCTTATGCCAGGGGCAGAAATGCTCAGTATTCTTGGTGCTTGGGGGGCAACAGTGGGAGAGCTCCTGGAGTTCTGGCCCTGCTGGTGGACCTCCTGATGGCCCCTGGTATTTCTGGCCACTGTGTGACAGAGTGTTGGACTGGATGGGCCACTGGCCTGATCCAACATGGCTTTTCTTAAGTTCTTATGTCAGGGGCAGTGATGCTCAGTATTCGTGGTGCTGGAGGGGGCCACAGTGGGAGGGCTCCTGGAGTTCTGGCCCCACTGCTGGACCTCCTGATGGCCCCTGGTATTTTTGGCCACTGTGTGACTCAGAGTGTTGGACTGTATGGGCCACTGGCCTGATCCAACATGGCTCCCTTATGTTCTTAATGCGCCACCCAAAGGTGCCTCCCTCGGCAGGGGGTGCTTTGGCTCGACCTGGGCCGTGCTGAGGCCTCTTCCACTTCCCGCTGCTTGCAAGGAGATCGGCCTTTCACAGGCGTGCTCACCAGCAGTGGGGAGGGGGGGACGGACGTGAGCCACCAGCTGCCCCACCACCCCTCCCCCCCGGCCCCACCCCTCCCGCTCACCTGAGCCCTGCTGGCCCTCTGCTGGGCCTCCTGGGCTTGGGGCTTCTGGGCCACCCCGTCGCAGTCGGGGCTGTAGTGCTCACAGTAGTCGTAGGCCGCCTGGGAGCTGGCGGAGATCAGCAGCTGCTGGATGTCGCCCTGCGGGGAGAGAAGGGGGTGAGCCACGCCGGGTCCCCGGGCAGGGTCGGGAGAGGGGCCGGCGGGGAGAGGCCCTACCTCGAAGGCCTCCTCATCCAGGAGACGGGTGCCGAAGACGGTGATGCCGCGGGTGTCGATGAGCGGCTGGTTGCCCCGGGGCAGCGGCCGCGACATCTTCTTCTTGCAGTCCAGGAAGAGGGTCACCTGCTTCTTGCTCACGCTCAGCGCCACTCGATGCCACCTGGGGGGGAGGGACAGGACTGGCATGGGGGGGGCTGTGCCCGAGGAAGAGGACCCCCACCCACCCACACAGATGTGCACAAAAGGAGGCAGGTAAGACGGGAAGCCGAACTACAGGAGGCTGCGGGTCCCCGAGGGACACTCAGGAAGAAGAAGTAGTCGTAGTAGTAGCAGTAGAGAAGAAGAGATTGGATTTCTACCCCGCCCTTCACTACCCAAAGGAGTCTCAGAGCAGCTTACAAACTCCTTTCCCTTCCCCTCCCCACAACAGACACCCTGTGAGGTAGGTGGGGCTGAGAGAGCTCTTGACAGAAACTGCTCTTTTCAAGGACAGCTCTTATCAGAAACTGCTCTTTTCAAGGACAGCTCTTATCAGACTCCCTCCTCTGCCTAGGGAAAAAAAACTTTTAAAACACCAAGTGAAGATTTGCTGTTTGCCAGCCTCCCAGAAGAAAATGAATTCTGTCACATCTCCCCCTCCCAAGATTCCAGCGGAAGAGCAAATCCAAACAAAGCAGGAGGAAGACGGAAGAGTAGTAGTAGTAGGAGGAGATTGGATTTATACCCTACCCTTCACTCGGAGTCTCAGAGCGGCTTACAAACTCCTTTCCCTTCCCCTCCCCACAACAGGCACCCTGTGAGGTAGGTGAGGCTGAGAGAGCTCTGAGAGAAACTGTTCTTGAAGCTCTGTGAGAATTGTGACTGACCCAAGGTCACACCAGCAGCTGCATGTGGAGGAGTGGGGGATTAAATCCGGTTCTCCCAGATTAGAGTCCGCATTCATAATACCAGAGCATTGGAAGTGTCAAATTCTGGACAGTCTGTAGAAAGAACTTTTTGGAGATGACAGGAATAGATGCCTTGGCCTGGGCTGACCAGGGTCAAATGGGAAGGGAAACTGAAAAGATAAAACTTCCTTGCCACAGGAAGTAGCTCTCTTTCTTTGGAGTGCTGTGTTCCTGAGAGGACGCAGGACTCTAAACTCCTGAGGCAGGCAGGTTGATCGTGTGCTCACCTGGGTGCAAGCTTCAAGGTAATGGCAACTCTGTAATGAACAGCTAAGCTAAAGAGCCTGTCCTATATTTTACCATCAGTTAGGGCATGTTAGAGCTGTGGTGGCTCAAGTGGTTAAAATGCTGAACTGCAGGCTGTGGAAGGTCAGTAGTTCAGCAGTCCGAGACCCGGGTGTGCCGCATGACGGAGTGAGCTTCCGTCTCTAGTTCCAGCTCCTGGAAACCTAGCAGTTTGAAAGCAAGAAATTGCAAGTAGATAAATAGGGACCACTTCGGCGGGAAGTTCACAGCGTTCCATGCGCCTTGGTGTTTAGTCATGCCGGCCACATGACCACGGAAACGTCTTTGGACAGCGCTGGCTCTTCGGCTTGGAAACGGAGATGAGCACCGCAACCCTAGAGTCGGACTCGACTGGCTTTCGAGCAAGGGAACCTTTACTTTTTACTTTTTAGGGCACGTATAGAGGAAAGGAGAAAGGATGTGCATTTTTACCCATTTCTTTTGTAGTCCTATTTTTTAAAACAAAAGACAGTAGCTCTTATTCTTCTTAAAAGTAGTACTGACTCTCACTTTCCTTGAACGTCGGGTTGATCTTGTACAAAGAGAATGTAAGCCCCTAAGCAGCTCTTTGCAGATCTTTTTTTTTTGCTAGTTTAATTATACATTACCATCGTTCCAATATTCCATTTTGGGTATTTTTAACATTTTCTCCCTAGTCCCTCCCCCCTCAGTCTAATCTTCCTTTTTCAGCCAGGAGCACAGAGCCTGTAGTTTCCACTAAACGTCTTCTTTCTGCTCCTCTTTTATCCAGTTCAGGTAGAGAGTCCATTTTTCCTTGATCCGTGATGTCCTGTCATCCCATGGCAGATCCTGGCTGATCGTAGCCATTATATCTGACCAAACAAATTCGAACAGATAATTGTGCCAGGTTCTTTCTGTCCATTTTCTTTTATCTTTCCCCCCTCTTGCCATCACTGCTTTACCGGCTAGTTATCATTGCTTTCAGTAAATCTTGGTTCTTTTTCTCTGTTGTCTCATTACCTAGAGTAGTCATCATCATCAGTTCAAAATCTATATTCAGCTTTACATGAACAAGCTCATTTATTACTTTGAGGCCCTGTTCACACGGGGTGTTTTGGGCTGGGAGCAGGACGGAACGGGGGCGGAGCAAACTGGTGCGATCAGACGGCAACATCTGGCTTGCGTGGCGCTTCCGTCTCCGTTCCGGCCCTTCCCCCGATGAAGCGCATCGAAACTGAACCACCTACCGAGGTGGTTCATCCCGACGAGGCGCCGCAAGCCGGGCCGTCTGATCGCCGGCGCGTCTCTGCGCCGGCGCATCCCCGGCTCCTAGCCGAACTGCGCATGCTCCGACATGCGCAGTTCGGCGGGCTCCCCGTCTGCACTGTGTTTTCTCCCCGGCATCTGATCGTGCCGGGGAGAAAAGGCGCCGTGGCCCAGGGATCGTGCCGCGGCGTCTCAACTTTTGGCGCGGCTTTTTAAAGCCGTGCTTTGAGCGACATCTCCCCTGCCGTCTGAACGGGGCCTTAGTATATTTTCCCATAGTTTTTTGGCCTCGGGGCATTCCCACCACATGTGGGAGTACCATCCTTTCGCACTTCTACAACGCCAACAGTTTCAGCTGTCCTGAGAACATGTTAGCTAAGGTGGCTTCCCTTGTAGTCCTTGTTCAATGTGATGCTGCACTTAAAGTATGCTTATCAACATTTTCTTTTTATTAAACACTTAAACTTTTAAAAAAAGAACTCTCTCAGCCCCATTTGCCCCGCAAGGTGCTCGTTGTGGGGAGAGGAAGGGAAAGGTGATGGTAAGCCACTTTGAGACGCCTTAAGGGGGAGAAAAGTGGGGTATGAAAAACCCAACTCTAAAGAAGGCCAAATCTTAGGCCAAGGGTTCGTGCAACCAGTGTTCCCTCTAAGCTGAGTTCGTGTGAGGCTAGCTCACAGTTCTTTAGCCTCCGTTTGACACATTTTTGTCTCAGCTTAGGAAGGGAGGGCTCCCGAGCCAACTAATTTATGCAGCAGCCAAATCGCTCGTTCACAGCTTCAATGCCAGCAGCTCACAAAATAGAATTTTTGCTCACAAGACTCCACAGCTGAGAGGGAGCGTTGAGTGTAACCCATGCAATCCTACCCAGACAGACCTGCTCCTTGTTTGTGTGATCCTGTCTATCTCTGCTAGTCAGAATCTTCCTCAGGGAGTTCAACAATATTTTTCGACACAAGGTGCTTTTCACTTTGTAAGAGGCTTGTTGTTGTTGTTCGGCCGCACAGTCGAGTCCGACTCTTTGGGACCCCATGGACCAGATCCCGCCAGGCCCTCCTGTCTTCCGCTGTCCTCTGAAGTTGGCTCAATTTCATGTTCGTTGCATCGATGACACTGTCTAACCATCTCATCCTTTGCCGTCCCCGTCTTCTTTGACCTTCAGTCTTTCCCAGCATCAGGGCCTTCTCCAGTGAGTGCTCCCTTCTCATTTGGTGGCCAAAGTATTTGAGTTTCAGTATCTGGCCTTCCAGGGAACAGTCAGGGTTGATTTCTTTTAGGATTGACTGATTTGATCTCCTTGCAGTCCAAGGGACTCTCAAGAGTCTTCTCCAGCACCATAGTTCAAAAGAATCTATTCTTCGGCGTTCGGCCTTCCTTATAGTCCAACTCTCGCAGCCACACATGACTACTGGGAATACCATTGCTTTGACCTTGCGGACTTTTGTTGGCAGGGTGATGTCTCTACTTTTTATCATGCTGTTTAGGTTCGCCATCGCTTTCCTCCCAAGGAGCAGGCGTCTTTTAATTTCATGGCTGCTGTCACAGTCTGCGGTGATCTGGGATCCCAGGAACGTGAAGTCTGTCACTACTTCCACGACTTCGCCTTCCATTTGCCAAGGAGTGATGGGGCCAGATGCCATGATCTTAGTTTTTTTGATGTTGAGCTTCAAGCCCACTTTTGCGCTCTCCTCTTTTACCCTGGTTTGATGCATTTGTCAAACGACAGCTGCAATACCAAGCAGTGTTCCCTCTAAGCTGAGTCAGTGTGAGCCAGCTCACAGTTTTTTAGCCCCTGGCTCACACATTTTTGTCTTCGCTCAGGAAGGATAGGGCTCCAGACCAAACTAATTTATGCGGTAGCCAAATCGCTTGCTTACAACTTTAATGCCAGTCGCTCACGAAGTAGGGTTTTTGCTCACAGGACTCCACAGCTTAGGCAAATTGCGTGCAGCACTTTAACAGCATCATCTTTTAAGACTTTGAATAGCTCAGCTGGGATACCATCACCTCCACTAGCTTTGTTGTTATTAATGTTTTCTAAGGCCCATTTAACTTCACATTCCAGGATGTCTGGCTCGAGGTCAGTGATTATACCGTCGTGGTTGTCAAGGACATCGAGGTCTTTCTTGTATAGTTCTTCTGTGTATACTTGCCATCTTTTCCTAATCTCTTCTGCTTCTGTTAGGTCCCTACCGTTTTTGTCCTTTATCATGGCCAGCTTTGCATGGAACGCTCCCTTGATTTCTCCAATTTTCTTGAAGAGATCTCTAGGAGGCTTGTAGCACATTAGAAAAAAAAATTTTGCAGCGTTCATTGAAAGAGAAATTTGGATTAAAACTTTGGTATTTGGCAACCTTGTGCTGAAAAATATTGTTGAACTCCCTGGGGAAGATTTTGAAACAGAAGGGTATCTGGACCTCTGTTGGAGGAAGACAGAGCAGATGTTATAAAGAGACTTTAAAGAGTCCTCCCTCTTGAAACTTTTGTTTAACAGAGGAGGACTGGCATTAATTATAAGGTTGTACTATATCTTTTGAGATTCTTTGGAGATGATCTTGGTATTTTGATATTTCTGATATTATGAACTGTGATTAAGAAGTATATTCATATATGATGAAATTATTGTAGAAATATTTTTCAAAAATAATATAAAATTATTTCTGATATGTAATAATCATCTGGGCACAGTATTTGTTGTATGTTGGTTGATGACACACAAATCCCGTCAGCACTGCGGATTCTGTGAACTTGAGCAGATCACGAGAGGGAGGGCAGGAAGGGGTTGCCTCAGTGCTTAGTTCTTGTGGCCCTTTCTTACATGCCCAGGGAAATGCCGATTGCCACTTTGGGGTCAGGAAGCAGTTTTTCTCCAGGCCAGTTTGGCTGGAGATCCTGGAGGGGTTTTTTTTGTCATCTTCTGGGTGTGGAACAGGGTGTGTGTGGGGGGGAAGGTATTTGTGAGTTTCCTGGCATTGTGCAGGGGGCTGAATTAGATGACCCTGGCGGTCCCTTCCAACTCTAGGATTCGATGATTCTATTGGAAATTCTATTCCAGATTATTACATCAGTGAAGATTTATGTGTGGAGAGATTCATGGCCTGCTTTCATAGAATCATAGAATGTTAGAGTTGGAAGGGACCTTACAGGTCATCTAGCCCAACCCCCTGCACTCTGCAGGAGCATAGCCAAAAGAGAGCCCTACAACATGCCCGAAAGATGGTTGTCCAGCCTCCGCTTGAAAACGTCCAGCAAAGGAGCATCCACCACCTCCCGAGGCAGACTGTTCCACCGCTCAACCACTCTCACAGTCAGGAAGTTTCTCCTGATATTTAGCTGGTAACGACTCCCTGGTAATTCCCACCCATTAGACCTACTCTTGCAATCCGGAGCAAGAGAGAATAGATCCCCTCCATCTCCTACATGACAGCCCTTCAGATACTTGAAGACCGCAATCATGTCCCCTCTAAGCCTTCCCTTTCCCAGGCTAAACAGACCCGACTCTTTCAGCCTTTTCAGTGAGGCCTTTTCTGAAAGGAACTTGCTTTTGAGTAAACATATAGTAGGTGCTTTTGCCAACAGGGGATGGACACTGCGGCAATTCCCCGAGAACTTGGCGCTGTACAAAACCCTGTTTACAATTCTTCTTGTGGCTGACTGAGAAAAAGTGTAACCATTCAGTGGACCAAAATACTCCCCCACCCCCACCCCGGCCAGGGTTTGTCCCTGGGAAGGTTTCTGAGCCTTTAACGACTGGCAGCCTGGCAAGGATTTATCAGACGGAGCGTCTCCCTCTATTGCCTCTGCCCTCACAATAAACTCTGCCTGCAGTTGGGTTCCTACTTCTCACAAAGCCATTCCGGCCACAGGAGCAATGCTCCCTCTGAGCTGTGGAGTCTCGTGAGCAAAAATTCTACTTTATGAGCTACTGGCATTAAAGCTGTGAGCCAACAATTTAGCTACTGCATAAATCAGTTTGCTTCCTGAGATAAGACAAAAACTGTGTGAGCCGGAGGCTAAAAACCTGTGAGCTAGCTCGCACTAACTCAGCTTAGAGGGAACACTGCACAGGAGCCCTGTCAGGCAAGAAGTTGGCAACTCTGCACTAGGAGCCAGTTTGGTGTCGTGGTGAAGTGTGCGGACTCTAATCTGGGAGAACCGGGTTTGATTCCCCACTTCTCCTCCACTTACACTTGGATGGATGACCTTGGGCAAGCCACAGTTCTGATAAGAGCTGTTCTTGAAAAAGAGCAGTTTCTGTCCAGAGCTCTCTCAGCCCCGCCTGCCTCACAGGGTGTCTGTCTGTTGTGGGGAGGGGCAGGGAAAGGAGTTTGTAAGCCGCTCTGAGACACCTTTGTGTAGTGAAGGGCGGGGTATAAATCCAATCTCCTCCTCTTCTTCTTCTTCTTCTTCCTCCTCCTCCTCTTCCTCTTCTTCTTTTTCCTTTTCTTCTACTTCTTCTTCTTCCTCTTCTTCTTCTTCTTCTTGCCTTTCACAATCACACAGCAGGAAGAAATTCCATAGTTCTGATAAGGGCTGTTCTTGAAAAAGAGCAGTTTCTGTCAAGAGCTCTCTCAGCCCCACCTACCTCACAGGGTGTCTGTTGTGGGGAGGGGAAGGGAAAGGAGTTTGTGGGCCACTCTGAGACTCCTTTCGGTAGTGAAGGGCCATGGGGTATAAATCCAATCTCCTCCTCCTCCTCTTCTTCTTCTTCTAGAAAGGGTCACCTGGAAAAGGGCCTAGTTGGGAGACTGGATCCCCTTTCGGCTTCTTGACAGATCTGACCAGGAGCTCACCCATGGCTTGGCTTTAGACCCTGACCTGCTAAGAACTGCCCTTCCCTCTTGGGGTCTACTTCACCGAGCTCCCTTGGCTGGGGACAATCCCAGTGGAGGAACCACGGAAGAACACGAGGTGGTGGGAGAAGGTGGCAGAGGGGGAGGGGGAGGAAGAGGAAGGCAGGCACTCACTTGCCATCGGCCAGGTTGACGCCTCGGAAGATGGGGTAGTCCTCGGGGGCCGGGCGGCCGTTCTGGTCCTCGTAGAGGAAGACAGGGGAGCGGCCCAGCTCCACCCCCAACTGCTGGATGCCGTGCTGGTTGTAGATGGACAGCAAGAAGGCCTGCAGGCCGGACTTGGGTTTCACCAGCGCCATGATGGAGAAGTCCTCTGGGAATTTACCTGGGAAGGCAAAGGCGGGCTGAGGATGTGGCCACGCAGCACCAGAGAACTCCTGAAGCAACAGGGCTCCCCGGGAGAAAGGCCCAGAAGTCCACTGAGAGGGTGGCTTTTCCCATAACCAGGGGTCATTTCCTGCAGGAGCGCACAGGAGCGGAGCTCCGGCAGTGAAGAGCCCAGGGGGCGGGCACATGCAACAAGCCCCGCCCCCTGCTCCCAGCAGCCCTCAGTCAGAGCAAGAAGCAGCCAGGTACATTGCAGAGCCCCCCCGCCCCCCCAGTCCAAAACAGTCCAGTGGCACCTTTAAGACCAAGCTTTATTCAGGTAGAAGCTCTCCCTCCTCTGCGAAGACAGATCTGCACATTCCCCCCCCCAATAGCTAGCAGGGGTCATTTCGTAGGAAAAGAGGTGCAGGAGGCCATTAGCATAACTTGTTAGCATAACTTATTTGCATATGCCACACCCCCTGACATCACCGGACGTGTGTCACAAGGCAACACCCACTGCTCAGGCTCCACTGGACTGTTTTGGATTGCTAGCTATTGGAGGGGGGGGAGACTGCAGATCTGTCCTCGCGGAGGAGGGAGAGCTTGTACCCGAATAAAACTTGGTCTTAAAGATGCCACTAGACTGTTTTGGACCGGGGGTCCGGGGGGGGGGCTCTGCAGCTTACCTGGCTGCTTCTTGCTCTGACTGAGGGTTGCTGGGAGCAGGGGGCGGGGCTTGTTGCATGTTCCCGCCCCCTGGGCTCTTTACTGCCGGAGCTCTGCTCCTGTGCACTCCTGCAGGAAATGACCCCTGGACTGGCAACAACCCCAGAGCCAGAAAAGAGGGCATGGGGGGGTGGAAGGGACACGAGGTGGGAGGATGGAGGTGGGACCCAAGCTGGGGTACAATGCCACAGAGTCCACCTGCCCAGGGGCCCATTTTCTCCAAGTGAACTGATCTTTATCGCCTGGAGCTCAGCTTTCGTCCCCAGAGATCCCCAGGCACCACCCGGAGGCTGGCCACCTAGGCCCAAGCATAATTTAGCATCCAAGAAGAGTCCCCACTTGGGACTGGTTTCTTCCCTTTTTTGCCAGTTTGGTGTCATGGTCAGGAGCGTGGACTCTAATCTGGGAGAACCGGGTTTGATTCCCCACTCTTCCTCCGCCTGCAGCTGCTGGTGTGGCCTCGGGTCAGTCACAAGTTCCCTCACAGCTGTTCTCTCAAGGGCGGTCCTCGAAAGACCTCTCTCAGCCCCACCGAACTCACAAGGGGTGCGTTCAGACGGGGCATTTGAGCCGGTATACGAGCTGGTTAGAAACGGAGTACTTACGCGCGATCACACTCACAACGTCTGCCTCCCGTCCCTAACCGTTGCCAACCATCGCAAACACCCCTTAAACCGGTGTGGTTTGCTACTAGGTCCCCAAGTGGTGCTTTCCTGAGTGCTCTGGTTCTAGCCACATTTCCCCCGTCTGATCGCTTTCCACCGGAGTAGAGCCACTTCCGTTCGGAAGCCCAAGGCTTCCGCTTTTCATCCTCCTTTTTTTTTTTTAATCGTAAGCGATGTGTGCTTGGGCGAAGCTTCGCCCCGGTGTTAGTAAAAGCAAACTTTAAATGGTGCCCAGTTTCAGCCCTCAGATGAGTCTGGGACCTCACCAAGGCCAGTTTCGATGTCAAAGTTTAAAGGGAAGTGTTGTGTCCGCTGGCCGCCACCAGGGGCCAGCGAATACCCCAGAGCTTGACTCTGGAAGAACAATGGGGACTAGGCTCCTGGTCTCTCCACGGAGGGACCAATGGGACGTTGGCGGGAGATTTAAACCCACCAATGGGACCTAGGGGTGTGTGTCCCCAGTGTGTACATAGTGGCCCACGGGCCGTTTCCTTTTGTCTTTGTTGTGTAGCAGTGAAGCGTGCAGGATGCTATGTGAACTGCAACGGCCTAGCCATGCGGTTAAACCCACTACACAATAGGAAGCCTTCGCTTCAGGGCATGCTTTTCGGGCTACGGTGTTACGCACATGTACGAAGATCTCACTTATATCAAAGATTGCCTATGCGCATGCGCAAACTGTGTAGAAATAATTTTTTAAAATGCCGACGCGCGCTGCTGAGCGCCTGAAGTGTGGACGCCGGGGAGCGATGTGCTGTGCAGTGAGAGGTGAGTGTGATCGCGCTTCCCCCGGATCAAATTCATCCCGTTGGAACGGGAGCGGTTTACAGGGCTCCCAGCCCGCCATCTGACCGCACCCAAGGTATCTGTTGTGGGGAGGGGAAGGGATTGTAAGCCGCTCTGAGACTCCTTTGGGCAGTGAAGGGCGGGGTATAAATCCAATCTCTTCTTCTTCATCATCATCTTCTTCTTCTTGCCTTTCATAATCACACAGCAGGAGGAAACTCAACAGGAGAAGAAGTTTGGTGTCGTGGTGAAGTGTGCGGACTCTAATCTGGGAGAACCGGGTTTGATTCCCCACTCCTCCACTTGCACCTGGCTGGATGACCTTGGGCAAGCCGTAGCTCTGACGAGAGCTGTCCTTGAAAAAAGAGCAGTCTCTGTCAAGAGCTCTCTCAGCCCCACCTACCTCACAGGGTGTCTGTTTGTTGTGGGGAGGGGGAGGGAAAGGAGTTTGTCAGCCATTCTGAGACACCTTCGGGTAGGGCGGGGTATAAATCCAATCTCCTCTTCTTCTTCTTCTTCCTCTTCTTCTTCCTCTTCTTCCTCCTCTTCTTCCTCTTCTTTTTCTTCTTCTTCCTCTTCTTCTTCTTCCTCTTCCTCTTCTTCTTCTTCTTCCTCCTCTTCTTCTTCTTCCTCTTCTTCTTCATCATCTTCCTCCTCTGGAGGAAACTGGAGAGCCAGTTTGGTGTAGTGGTTAAGTGCACGGACTCTAATCTGGGAGAACCGGGTTTGATTCCCCACTCCTCCACTTGCACCTGCTGATGTGACCTTGGGTCAGTCACAAGCTCTGGCACAGCTGTCCTTGAAAAAGAGCAGTTTGTGTCAAGAGTTCTCTCAGCCCCACCCACCTCACAGGGTGTCTGTTGTGGGGAGGGGAAGGGAAAGGAGTTTGTAAGCCGCTCTGAGACTCCAAGTGAAGGGCGGGGTATAAATCCAATCTCTTCTTCTTCTTCTTCCTCCTCCTCTTCTTCCTCTTCTTCCTCCTCCTCCTCCTCCTTCCTCCTCCTCTTCTTCTTCTTCTTGCTCTTCTTCTTCTTCTTCTTCCTCTTCTCCTTCTTGCCTTTCACAGTCACAAAGCAGGAAGAAACTCAACAGGGGGGAGCAGACTCTTCGTGGCCTGGAGTTCAAAGAAGAGTGGTCCCCTGGACAGTGCTGAAGTCACACTGGGGAAAAGGGGCACCCCAACAGATGCTGAAGGAGAGCTCTGCGTCTGCTAGGGGGCCCCCCCAGAAGGGGAAGCCACGGGCCCCCTCCCCTCCCCCTCCCCTACCAAAGCCCCGCCAGAGACCCCCAGATTTCTGCCCGGCCCCGCAAGCTTACCTGGGAAAAGCTGCCGTGTCGGAGCACTGATCTGGGCCTGTCTTGATATCCGGTAGGCCACATCTGGCCCGGTTCCCGAACGCCTCTTGGGGCAGAATCCCGTCGTTTTGCGCACCCCCTGGGGCTGACTCTGCAGCTGCAGCACTTTAAGGACGTCCACTGGATCTGCTGGGGAGTGGGGGGGAGAAGGGAAAGACCAAGTAAGAACACGGGCAGCCATGTGAGAGGGGAGGGTGGAGGAGGCAGACAGGCAAGCTGCACCGTGATATCACCCCCCCCCCCATGCAAATAGCTCCACCACCCCTCCCTTTGTCTTCCTATATCTTTTTTATTTCCCCCCTTCTTTTTTGTATTTTTATTTAACGTATAAAACAATACACATGCTACATTCATACAGGATCGATGACCTCCCCAGATAATGACAGCTGTCATTTTTATCTATCAAGCAAGCGATAACTAAAAAAACCGACACAAAATCTAAGTGTTCCTTAGGTATTGAGGAGTTCTGGCAGGCGGCTCAATTCAATATACTTTAAAAAAAAAAGTATACCCTGTCTCTATAAACATATTTTTCCTATTAGGGTTCTCAACTTGTATTAATTGTGAGATTATCTTATTCTGGACCATCAAGTCCTGTATCTCGTCATACCACTGTGCCAAAGTCGGTATATTCTTAGTATTCCATTGATGTGCCAATATTATTTTACCAGCTAATAGGAGACGGGTCAATAGAGCCTTCCTCGACTCTGGGATATTTAACTCTGGCCACAATTGTCTCCCTATATGATGAAACTGACGAACTGATGTAGAGAGGTGAGTTTCTCGAAAGCTTATGCTACAATACAGCTTCGACAGGAGGAGGAGATTGGATTTATACCCCATGGCCCTTCACTACCCAAAGGAGTCTCAGAGCGGCTGACAAACTCCTTTCCCCTCCCCTCCCCACAACAAACACCCTGTGAGGTAGGTGGGGCTGAGAGAGCTCTTGACAGAGACTGCTCTTTTTTCAAGGACAGCTCTCGTCAGAGCTACGGCTTGCCCAAGGTCATCCAGCCAGGTGTAAGTGGAGGAGTGGGGAATCAAACCTGGTTCTCCCAGATTATAGTCCACGCACTTAACCACTACACCAAACTGGCGGGGTACAAATTAAATAAATATAGTCTTTAAGGTAAAACAAACAACTGAGGAAAGACAGTCTCCCACAGGGAAAGCATTATTGCCATACATCAAAGGAATCACTGATCAGATGGGAAAACTTATGAAAAAACACAACCTACCAACAGTATTCAGACCCAACAGAAAAAATACAACAGGTGCTACGATCGGCAAGAGACAGAAGAGACCCCCCCCACTTCTGCAGGGGTATACCGCATACCATGCAGTTGTGGACAGGTTTACATCGGGACCACGCAGCGTAGCATCCAGACAAGAATAAAAGAACAGGAAAGACACTGCAGACTGGGCCAACCTGAGAAATCAGCAGTGGCGGAATAAAAGAACAGGAAAGACACTGCAGACTGGGCCAACCTGAGAAATCAGCAGTGGCAGAACATAGCCTAACTCAAACAGGACACAGTATCTTGTTCCAAGACACTGAAAGGCTGGACAACACATCCAATTACCATGTCAGATTACACAGGGAAGCCATTGAAATTCATAAACATAAACACAATTTCAACAGGAAAGAAGAGAGTTTAAAAATAAACAGGGCGTGGTTTTCTGTCCTGAAAAATACAAAATGCTCTGCATCTTACAACAGCACTACAGATAAGATTAGAATTTCAACAGCCAATCCCTATGCAAAAGAACCTCCTCAGGAAAGCTCCTCCACTAGCATGTTCACAGCCTGGGGAACTCCTACAAGATAATGACTCCTCCCTATCCCACCTTCCTGAGTAGATATACATTACCTGCCTACCATTTTTCTTCTCACACTGACACAGAGAGTCCTCCATCTTTCTGTGTCATACTTCTGAGGGTGCCAGTCACAGCTGCTGGCGAAACTTCAGGTCCTACAATACCAAGACCACGGCCATACAACCCAGAAAATCTACAACAACTAATGAACTCCGGCCATGAAAGGCTTCGACAACATAATAAATAAAGTCAGTCTTGAAGGTGCTACTGGGCTTTCTACTATATGATCAAGGGAGTCTCTCAGAAGCTTCTGCTTTGAAAATCTTCTTCATCTCTAAAGCGCTCCTGGACTTTGACAAGAGACCGACACGACTACCCCCGGAAACAAACTTCAAAACCAGCCATTCAAAGCTGCACCACAGAATACACCCAACTGAAGGATACGGTCAATCTGATCCAGCAGGGCCCGCCCCTTCTTATGTTCTTATGAAGTCCTCGGCCTCTCTGCCCTGTTGTTGGCCCTCCAGAGGAACTGGTCGGCCACTGTGTGAGAAGACAGGAGGCTGGACTAGCGGGACCCTCACTGGCCTGATTCTGCAGGGCTCTTCTGAGGTTCTTATCAGGGGAAGGCCTCGGCCTCTTTGCCCTGTTCTTGGCCCTCCAGGGGAACTGGTTGGCCACCGTGTGAGAAGACAGGAGGTCTGATCCAGCAGGGCTCTTCTTATGTTCTTCTCAGGGGAAGGCCTCGGCCTCTGCCCTGTTCTTGGCCCTCCAGAGGAGCTGGCTGGCCACTGTGTGAGACGGGATGCTGGACTAGATGGACCCTCGCTGGTCTGATTCTACAGGGCTCTTCTGAGGTTCTTCTCAGGGGAAGGCCTCGGCCTCTCTGCCCTGTTGCTGGCCCTCCAGACGAACTGGTTGGCCCCTGTGTGAGACGGGAGGCTGGACTAGATGGACCCTCACTGGTCTGACCCAGCAGGGCTCTTCTGAGGTTATTATTAGGGGTAGGCCTCAGACTCTCTGCCCTGTTGTTGGCCCTCCAGAGGAACTGGTTGGCCATTGTGTCCAATCCAGCAGGGCTCTTCTGAGGTTCTTCTCAGGGGAAGGCCTCGGCCTCTCTGCCCTGTTGTTGGCCATCCAGAGGAACTGGTTGGCCACCGTGTGAGAAGACAGGAGGTCTGATCCAGCAGGGCTCTTCTTATGTTCTTCTCAGGGGAAGGCCTCGGCCTCTCTGCCCTGTTGTTGGCCCTCCAGAGGAACTGGTTGGCCATTGTGTCCAATCCAGCAGGGCTCTTCTGAGGTTCTTCTCAGGGGAAGGCCTCGGCCTCTCTGCCCTGTTGTTGGCCCTCCAGAGGAACTGGTTGGCCACTGTGTGAGATGGGATGCTGGACTAGATGGACCCTCGCTGGTCTGATCCTGCAGGGCTCTTCTGATGTTCTTATGTTCTTAAATGAATCCCAAGTCTTGAGCAGGCCAGTGAAGGCAAGCCAGACGGGAGATGGAGGAGGAGGAGGAGGCTGAGGGTGGAAAAGAAATCCTGGGCCTGGCTTCATACAAGGAAGTGCCCCCAAATGCCCCTGGCAAAGGAGAGCTCCCACTTGGTGCTCTCCAAAGAGGTGTTTTATCATAGGTGGGAGAACTGAGACCAGCCAAGACGGAGAAGACGGGCGCTGTACCTGCGAGTCGAGGCCCAACCTGAGTTCCTTCTCCTCTGCTAGATGAGGCTGTTTGGAAGCAGGAGGGGACCGTCCCCTGGAAGGGGGGAGGGAAATACCTGTTCCCCTTTGCAGCCGGGGACCGAGTGGGGAGGGGGCCTCTCCCGTGCAGGTGGGTGGGTGGCCCAGCGCCAGCCTGATCAGATGGAAGGAGCCGATTGGGGTCTCCCCCGCGAGGTGCGCCCGTCAATATCGGGATTCCGATCTCCTCTTTCGCGGGGCCTCTTGCAGCTGCGGTGAAAGGCCCCTTTGTTTCAGCCCCAGGCGGAGGATCCAGGGCACACGCTTTGCACACTCGGGCACACACGTGCACACACACACAAGCAGCAGGAAGGAAGGAGAGGAACTCCTGGAACAGGCGGCCGCACCACAAGCGCGTGCCATGCGCCCCATGCGCGGGCAGGCCCCGCGCAACCAGAGGCACCCTCGTGCAGGCTGCAGCATCCAGCCTCTCCTGTGCGGGAATAAGGGCCTTTTGTGTGCGTTTGGGACACCTCACACCGGATTACACACGCACACAAAACCACCATGGCACATTAAAAGGCCACCAGGAGCCATCCAGTGGTGGGATGCCTGTGAGAGAGGAAACAACCCAGAGGTGTATTCAGGGACTGCTGCGCTCTCTCTCTCTCTCACACACACAGAGTTATTTATTTATCCTGCCTCTGCCACTCCTGGCTGCTTTCTGAAGCTGGGCTGGAGGGGGGGGCAGCAAACTGACGCTGTGTGTGTGTGTGTGGGGGAAAACGCTTCCTTTTGCTAAAACAGCCCAACTTCACAAAGGAGCCGCTTGTGCTGCGGCCCAGAGTCCTGCCAGAGGAGCGCCCGGCAGCCGGGACAGATGGGGGGGGAGGGGTGTGGCCGTGCATTCCAGTCCTGATGCACACTAACCTCTCTCCCCCCCCCCCGCAGTGACCTGCATGGGGCAGGTGGTGGAAAAGAGGCCGTTCCTGATAACACCCCCCCACACACACAATGGCACAAAGACCCAGGTTTGAATCCCGTCTCTCCCATGGAAGCTCATCAGGTGACTCTCGATCAGTGAGAACGTAAGAAAACATAAGAGAAGCCAATGTTGGATCAGGCCAATGGCCCATCCAGTCCGACACCCTGTGTCACACAGTGGCCAGAAATACCAGGTGCCACCAGCAGGTCCAGCAGTGGGGCCAGAACTCCAGAAACACTCCCACTCTTGCTCCTCCCAAGCACCGAGAAAACAGAGCATCCCTTGCCCCAGACATAAGACGAGAAGCCATGTTGGATCAGGTCAGTGGCCCACCCAGTCTAACACCCTGTGGCACACAGTGGCCAGAACCCACCTGCCCTCAGGAGGTACACCAGCGGGGCCAGAACTCCAGAAACACTCCCACTCTTGTTCCAAGTACCAAGAATACAGAGCATCACCGCCCCAGACATAAGAACATAAGGGAAGCCATGTTGGATCAGGCCAGTGGCCCCTCCAGTCCAACACTCCGTCACACAGTGGCCAAAACCCAGGGGCCATCAGGAAGTCCACCAGTGGGGCCAGAACTCCAGAAGCCCTCCCACTCTTGCCCCCCAAGCACCAAGAATACAGAACATCACTGTCCCAGACATTTTTTTTTACTGTCCCAGACATAAGAACATAAGAGAAGCCATGTTGGATCAGGCCAATGGCCCATACAGTCTGACACTCTGTGTCACACAGTGGCCAAAGATACCAGGTGCCATCAGGAGGTCCAGCAGTGGGGGCCGGACACTAGGAGCCCCCTCCCACTCTTGCCCCTCCCAGCACCAAGAATACAGAACATCACCGCCCCAGACATAAGAACATAAGAGAAGCCATGTTGGATCAGGCCAATGGCCCGTCCAGTCCAACACTCCGTCACACAGTGGCCAGAACCCAAATTCTATCTGGAGGTCCACCAGCAGGGCCAGAACTCCAGAAGCCCTCCCACTTTTGCCCCCCAAGCACCAAGAAGACAGAGCATCACCACCCCAGACGTAAGAACATAAGAGAAGACAATGTTGGATCAGGCCAGTGGCCCATCCAGTCCAACATTCTTGTGTCACACAGTGGCCAAAAATACCAGGGGCCATCAGAGTCCACCAGCAGTGGGGCCAGAACTCCAGAAGCCCTGCCACTCCTGCCACACACACCCAAGCACCAAGAAGACAAGTCTTCTCCAGTGAGTGCTCCCTTCTCATTTGGTGGCCAAAGTATTTGAGCTTCAGTTTCATTATCTGGCCTTCCAGGGAACAGTCAGGGTTGATTTCTTTTAGGATTGACTGATTTCATCTTCTTGCAGTCCAAGGGACTCTCAAGAGTCTTCTCCAGCACCATAGTTCAAAAGAATCTATTCTTCGGCGCTCGGCCTTCCTTATGGTCCAACTCTCGCAGCCATACATGACTACCGGGAATACCATTGCTTTGACAATGCGGACTTTTGTTGGCAGGGTGATGTCTCTACTTTTTATCATGCTGTTTAGGTTCGCAATCGCTTTGCATGCACACAAAAGCTTATACCCAGGGGGGTCATTTCATAGAAAAAGAGGCGCAGGAGCTCATTAGCATAACTCATCAGCATCACTTATTTGCATATGCCACACCCCCTGACATCACCGGACGTGTGTCAGAAGGCAACACTCACCGCTCAGGCTCCACTGAGTTAGGATACTTTCAATCCCTGTCTCTCCTCTATACTGTCAGAAAGTTTTAAAAAATCTTTATTACAGTCCATGACCAGAATAATAACATGAATCTGTACTGTCTAGAACGGGGTTCCGTATAATAAAGAACCCTTATTCGCTTTAAATCTGACCGCTGCCTCTGTGTAGCTTTGTGAGTCTGCCGGCACACTAAGGACAGACGTTCTGCCGTGGGATTCGCTTTAAGCACCCTGCTGCTGTGATCGCGATTCCTGGCTGTACTAAAACCAGAGGATCCAACACGTTTGAGCTGCGCTCGGCCTTTGCCGGCCCTTCTAAGCCGGAGGGCCGCTTTGGAGCACAGCGGCCTTTGACGCGGCCAGCCGGCCTTCCTCATCTCCTGTTCCCTCTAAGCTAACCCTAACCCTAATGAGTTCCTGCGGTTGGGTGTGGCCTATTATGCTAATGAGTTCCTGCTGGGCGTGGCAAACTCGGGAGCCAGCCGGAACTCCGTTCCTGTGCATTCCTAATAGCCCTGCTAATGTATGGATTGTAACACATGAAAGAACGTTATGTTGTGTTGTGTTACGTATTGTATGGATTGTATGGATTGTATGGATTGTAAGTAAGGTATAAAAGAACAAAAAAATATATTTTTTTAAGAACTACGGCTTGCCCAAGGTCCTCCAGCCAGGTGCGAGTGGAGGAGTGGGGAATCAAACCCGGTTCTCCCAGATTAGAGTCCGCGCACTCAACCACGACACCAAAGTTGGCGGGCCCACTGCCATGAACTGGCTGATGAATTCCAGTCTGGCCTTTCTGTCGGTCTGGAAGGCTCCGCCGGACCTGCGCTTTGCTCAAAGGAATTCTGTCTCTGCCCACAGCTACCGAGCGACAGACCTTTGGGCCCGGTCCACCCGAGGTCCAGCCAAATCCTCCGCTGCCCCCAGCCCGGGCATTATTCACAGCTGAAACCGCCCCCCAAAAAAACTCAGCCTCCTCCTCACTGACCCAGGTGTTCTGAAACCCCCCTCCCTCGTTCCTTCTTTGCCCACCGCCATCAACAGCTGTTCCCAATTGCGCCGGCTGGGATTTGCAGCCGGAAAATTCTTTTTTTCTTCTTCCCAGCAGCGCAAGTGGAAATGCAGGCTGCCGGGCGGGGTGTCAAGTCTGGGGGGGCCAACTCCCCCTGCGTTGCAGGCCCCACAGATTGCCGTTTCTGTCCCCCCCCCATGGGCCAGCCCCAGGCGTTCCCAGGCACTGCCTGAGCAGCCTTTACAGGGGTCGCTGGAGTGGAGGTGGCCAATATCCCCCCCCCGGAAGATCAAACCTGAAGTGTCTGGACGGAAACAGGGCCCGCCACAGATGAGTTTAACAGAGGAGTCTCCCGGCAGCTGCCCAGAAATGCCCCACATGCTCAGCAGCAGTGGGTGTGCCATGTGCCTGGCCCAGCCGGCCTGCTGAGGGCAGCTCGGAGGCAGTGAGCTCCAGTGGTCAGAGCAAGGGGGGTGAGCTCTGAAGACGGGTGGGGGTGTGTGGATCCAATGCTTCCTCTCAGCTGTGGCGTCTTGTGAGCAAAAACTCTACTTTGTGAGCTACTGGGCATTAAAGTTGTGAGTGAGCGATTGGGCTACGGCATACATTAGTTTGCTCTGGAGCCAGAGGCTAGAAAACTGTGAGCTGCCTCACACTCACTCAGCTTAGAGGGAACACTGCTCTGGAGCCCTCCTTCCTGAGCAAAGGCAAGAATGTGTGAGCCGGAGGCTAGAAAACTGTGAACTGCCTCACACTCACTCAGCTGAGAGGGAACACTGCTCTGGAGCCCTCCTTCCTGAGCGAAGGCAAGAATGTGTGAGCTGGAGGCTTAAAAACTGGGAGCTGGCTCACACTGACTCAGCTCAGGGGGAACACTGGTCCCTTCCAATGCTCCCTCTAAGCTGTGGCGTCTTGTGAGCAAAAATCCTACTCTGTGGGCTCCGGGCATGAAAGTGGTGAGCGAGCGATTTGGCTGCGGCATCAATCAGGTTGCTCTGGGGCCATCCCTTCCTGAGCGGAGACAAAAAAATGTGTGAGCCGGAGGCTACAAAACAGTGAGCTGGCTCACACTGACTCAGCTGAGAGGGAACACTGGCCGCAATGCTCCCACTAAGCTGTGGAGTCCTGTGAGCAAAAATCCTACTCAGCGGGCTCCTGGCATTAATGTTGTGAGCCAAGTGATTTGGCCGCTTCATCAATTCGTTTGCTCTGGAGCCCTCCTTCCTGAGCGAAGACGAAAATGTGTGAGCTGGAGGCTAAAAAAACTGTGAGCTGGCTCACACCGACTCAGCTGAGAGGGGACACTGGGTGGAACACCCCCTTGGCCCCACTGAGTCTTACAGGGACGCCGTTTGCCAGGCGATGACGGGGATTGAATCTCAGGCCAGGAGACGTTTTGACTGCCCGTTTCCGCTCCTGGTCAGCTGGCGGCAGCCCTAGATGGAGGGGTAGTGGAACACAAAGGATGAAAGAATGAACACGACCTCCGAGCTACACCAGTTTGGTGTCTTGGTTAAGTGTGCGGACTCTAATCTGGGAGAACCGGGTTTGATCCCCCACTCCTCCACTCGCACCTGCTGATGTGACCTTGGGTCAGTCACAAGCTCTGGCACAGCTGTCCTTGAAAAAGAGCCGTTTGTGTCAGAGCTCTCTCAGCCCCACCCACCTCGCAGGGTGTCTGTTGTGGGGAGGGGGAGGGAAAGGAGTTTGTAAGCCGCTCTGAGACTCCAAGTGAAGGGCAGGGTATAAATCCAATCTTGTCCTCGTCCTCCTCGTCCTCCTCGTCCTCCTCGTCCTCTTCTTCTTCTTCTTCTTCTTCTTCTTCTTCTTCTTCTTCTTCTTCTTCTTCTTCTTCTGAGTTTGTGTGAGCCAGCTCACAGTCTTTTAGCCTCCGGTTCACACCTTTAATGGAGCTGCGGTGGCTCAAGTGGTTAAGACGCTGAACTGCAGGCTGTGGAAGGTAAGTTTCGGTGGGAAGGTAACAGCGTTCCGTGCGCCTCGGTGTCTAGTCATGCCGGCCACATGACCACGGAAATGTCTTCGGACAGCGCCGGCTCTTCGGCTTTGAAACGGAGATGAGCACTGCAACCCTAGAGTCGGATTTGACTGGCTTTCGAGCAAGGGAACATTTACCCAGGTAGCGGCCACTGCCAAGGCAGCCTTTTACCACCTTCGGCTGATTTAGGCAGTTGGTCCCCTTCCTCGAGCGCAATGATCTGGCTTTAGTGATCCACGCTATGGTCACCTCGAGACTAGACTACTGTAATGCTCTCTACATGGGGCTGCCCTTGGGGGAACTTCGGAAGCTGCAGCTGGTGCAGAATGCGGCAGCCAGGTTGTTGATGGGTCTCCCCAGGTGGGAGCACATCCAGCCTGTGCTGAAGTCATTGCCCTGGCTTCCAATAGTGTTCCGGATTCGCTTCAAGGTGCTGGTTTTGACCTTTAAAGCCCTCAATGGTCAGGGGCCTGCCTACCTGAGGGACCGCCTCTCCCCGTACATTCCCCCAAGAGCACTACGGTCTGGATCACAACACCGCCTGCACCCCCCCCCGGGCCTAGGGAGGCCAGGTTGATGGTAACCAGGACCAGGGCATTCTCCCTGGTGGCGCCAACGCTGCAGAACGAGCTCCCTAATGAAATTAGAGCCCTATGGGACCTCCAGCAGTTCCGCAGAGCGGTGAAAACTGAGCTGTTTCACCAAGCGTTTAAATAAGAACTGACTGCACCAACTGGGTCAC